AAAAAAAAAAAAAAAAAAAAAAAAACTGAGTCACATGAGATGGTATAGAGGAATTATCTAAAGTTTGATGACCATATATATGATTTATAACCATGTCCTTTTAAAATAAATAAAAATGTTAAAATTAAAAAAATTTAACGACCACAAAAAGAGAAGTATGAAAACAGAGGGAGTACCTTGATTTCGAACTACACATGACAAAACTCCACTTGAAGATTACTCAAAACCCACATCCAAATTCCAAAGAATTAACGATTCTATAAAGCAGTATATGAGTAACTGCTTAACTCCAGAAGAAAAAAACAGAGCTTTTTTGGTAAAAGGGTTTGGCCTGAGACGATAAAGAATGATGCTAAGAGAAAGAGAAGTGTGGAAGGTGGGAAGGGTTTTTGAAAGTGTTTTTATAGTACTACTCCTATATGTTTGTGAGTGTGATTTTGTGAAGAAAATAAAAAGAGTTTTATTTGACAGCTAATATCCAACCATGTAAGAGGAAAAGGGCGGAAGGAGTAGTTAAATTAAATCTGGATGATGTCAATTCTGTTTTTCTCTGCTTTAATTTTTTTTTTTATAAAATGAAAATGACTTCTGATGTAAAAGCATGTAACAATAAAAGAAATTTTTAAATTTGTGGTATAAAATAAGGCACATATATTGAGTCCGAAACTTAAATGATGCTTTTTTGTACAAAAAGCACTTTTCTAATTTTTTTTAAAAAAAAGTTACATTAATAGGTAATTCGCAGAATAATACTGCGAATTGCTTTAACGGAAATTTAGCCATTAAAGCAATTTGCAGTATTATACTGCGAATTGCATAAAAAAATAATTGCTTGAGATGGGCCCAACTCATTTTTGAAATAGCATTTCGCAGTATTATACTGCGAATTAGGTGAATTCGCAGTATGATACTACGAATTAGACTGATTTTACTGATTTTTGGCCCCACCAATAATAATTAACTGACATAACAATAATTCAAATACATAAAACGTAGTATAATACTGCGAATTACTTTGAAAAATTCTACACCCCAAGCTCGGACTTGCCTTATTTGTAGGCGTTTCAATTTTATAAAAATTCATTCAATACTTAAACTTCAAACATACGTTCATTATTCTCTCTTCTCCTTATCAATCATTTTTTTACAATGTCTGAAGTGCCAAAAATAAGGGTTTCACTGTATTGGGGGGGTGAGGTTGTGTTGGAGAATAACTCTGTGAGGTATAGCTCACCTCCACAGTGTCATGTTAAATTGATGCTTAATATGGAGTACGATACATTGGTATCGTTGTTACGTAGAAAAATGAGTGAGCGGAGGCGTTCGGTTAGCCTTAAAGTAACCGGTAGATTTCCTTATTCAGTGACTCCGCAGGGGTTTGCTTATTATTCTGAGTTTAACATCGAGGATGATGAAACTCTTAGAGATTTTTTGCGGATTCCGGATGAATACAGGGAATTTATTGTAATAAAATTATTGGAAATGTACGTCAAGGTGGAGGACCTTCCCAGTAATGAGGGCGTGCATAGCAGGGATAACCCCCAGTCATCGGGTGGTTATTCTGGAGCAGTTTTTGCCGGACAGATTGCTGATGAAAGAGCTTGCCTTGATTTAAACTTGTCACCACCGGCGAATGAGCAGCCACAAAATAATTTTTCCACTTTATATAATCAACAAGACGACTGGTAAACTTCAATTTTACTACGCTTTAGCGATGTTTTTTTTCATGTTTTAATTGGATTTGTATTAACACTCATATTTTTTATAGGGGGTACCGTCCTGATTTGAATTTTACAAGTTATGACCCCGCCCCTAGTTGGAATATGCGTAGGTCTGGAGTATTGGACCACGGTGGTCCATCTGGGAGTCATCACCAACATGAAAATATCTATCATGAAACGCCAAGACAATACCATTTGTAAGTAAAGTGATATAGCTATATCTAAAGTATTTTTCTTGAGTATTGGGTAACTTATGTTTTTGTTCTTTTTGTGCAGTGAAAACGAGCTTCTTGAAGCTCCTGACCTCACACAGTTGCCCATAGACGACGTTTTTACTCGTGATTTGGCAGATGCGCAGAGTCAGGAGGATGATAGTGATTATGACAACAATGCGGATGAGTCTGGGGATGACACACCCTTCCATGATGAGGGTGATGATGAGGAGGAGGAACTGAATGTTGAACCTGAGCTGACCAGGGAGCATGTTCCTCCACCTCCCGCTAGACCAAGAGTGTACGAGTCCCATGTGCCATTTCATGAGCGAAATATTCCCTACCTTGATAATTTGCCAAGCATGCCTAACGTCGATGCCCTCACAAGGGATGATGATGAATTACGGTCAGCGATGTGGGATGAGTCTAGACCAGCTGTTCTTACAAAGGGCATGTATTTCCCAGATAAAGCTCGCCTAATTAGGGCTGTAAAAATCTACAGTATAAGAGAGTGTCGTGAGATGACAGTAAGTGAGTCAACTACGGAGAAATACAAGGCTGTATGTCGTAGGTGGTTTATGGGTTGTCACTGGATGCTGCATGCCACAAAGAAGAAATCAGGTTTGTGGAAAGTGGGTAAATTTATTAGCGAGCACAGATGTGAAATGGACACATTCAATGAGAATCACTTCAACTTGGATGTGGACTTGATTTCCCTTGTCTTGATTCCATTTTTGGAAGTGTCCATTAGGTTCAAGATTAAAGAGTGTATTACAGCCGTCCACCAGGAGTATGGTTGTACTATAACCAAAAGAAAGGCATATCTCGGTCGCAAACGTGCCTTTGAACTTATTTATGGCGACTGGGATAAGTCTTTTTCAAATCTGCCCAGGTACATGGCCGCACTGCAACACTTTAACCCCGGGACTGCTGTTGAATGGAGACGTGAGCGGAGTCCGGACAGACCGGAATATATTTTCAACTATGTGTTTTGGTCATTTAAACCAGCAATTGATGGTTTTGTGCATTGTCGTCCTGTAATTTCCATAGACGGTACTCATGTCTATGGAAAGTATGATATTAAGCTTTTGATTGCAGTTGCAGTAGATGCCAACGGACAAATATTTCCACTAGCTTTTGCCATTTGTGCCAACAAAAGTGAAGAGACGTGGACGCAGTTCTTGAACCACTTGAAGCAGCACATTGTCAAACAGCGTTCAGGTATTTGTCTAATATCTGATCGGCATGGTGGTATTTTAAGTTCTGTACGTCACTTGCCTGAATGGCATGAACCATATGCATACCACCGTTACTGTGTGAGGCACCTGAAGGCCAATTTCCAGAAGAAATTTCCTGACAAGGCCTTGCATGACTTAATGTGGATGGCTGCAACTGAGCACCAGCAGTGCAAATTCACGAGGCGCATGGAAGCGATCCGGCAGATAGAACCACGAGCCTACACTTAGTTGATGCAACATGAGCTTCACATGTGGACATTGCATGCTGATGGCGGCAGACGATGGGGAGCCCTCACTACAAACGTGTCGGAGTCATTCAACGGCTGAAGTCTGCCCGTGGACTGCCTGTCACTGCCATGGTCCGCATGACATTCAAACAGAGTGCAGAGAGGTTTGTTGAAAGGCATGCAGCTGCATCGGCATTGATGGACAGGGGTGTTGAATTTATGCCAATACCCATGAGAAGATTTGAAAGGTACAGGAGGCGAGCACAGTGGCATTCATTTCTTCAGTATGATCATGAACGGGGTGTTTTTGAAGTTAAGACCGCTATCAACGGACACCGTGGGAATAATCTACAGACGGTGAATGAAAATAGAAGGTTATGTTCATGTGGGAAATGGAACATCCACCACATGTCGTGCGCACATGCGTAGAAGTGCTTTCAACAAGTTGGATATGGGGCAACAAACTATATTGATAGGCAATACAGTGTTGCTGCATACGTAGACACGTATAGTGGGAAGTTGCATCCATTAGGTGCTGAGCATTATTGGCCGCCGGAACCTTTTAAGTTGGTATGTAACAAGGACTATTTGCGCAAGCTGAAAGTGCAAAAGAGAACGCGTATACGGAACCAAATGGATGTTGGTGAGTCCGTTTATGCGCGTAAATGTGGCATATGCTCTCAAACAGGACATGACTGTCGTAAATGTCCTTCAGGTGGTGTGCGTGTCGGTGGTAATCCTGGTGCAAGTTCGTCCAATGTACCCAACTATCAAGGATACCCCTAGTCCTTTATTTTGGTATTATTTTTTGTAATACATGTCTGTATTTTTGTTTGTTTCAATATATATGAAATAAAATAAATTTCCACAATCCTGTTACATCTTATTTTTTAACGTTATATTTTGATATGGTTGGAGCAATATTGAGGTATGGGTGTTAGTAAACAAGAGCAAGAATGTGGTATAAAAAAAATTTCGTTATGAAATAAATTAAATATGTAAAGCGTGGTACAATAATGTGTTTTATCAATTGTCTTGTCGTTCTTAAAAAGCTGTAAAGCGTTGTTCAAAAGCTTGAATGAATGAAAAATATTTTTTTTTTTTTTTGCAGAAAAATTAAATATGTAAATCTCAGTATAATACTACGTTTTGTTGAGTTGTCACTTCGTTCTGAAAAAGCTGAAAAGCATGTGAAAACACTACTTTTTTTCGGATAAATTTAATATGTAATTCAGAGTATTATACTGCGTTTTATTGAGTTGTCATTTCGTTCTGAAAAAGCTGAAAAGCATGTGAAAACCCTGTTTCGTGTAAGAGAAATTTAAAATATAATTCGCAGTATTATACTGCATTTTTGTGTGAAATCTTGACTATAAATAATGGTTGCATGCTACTTATATTCTTCGTTTAACAATAACCAAAGTTTCTCCATAAGAAATGTCTGAACAAAACGTTTATGTCCCAAGGTGCTACTGCGGAGAAAAATGCAGTTTGTTCAAATGGTGGCTAGAAGGTGCACGCCGCTACTGGGCATGTAAGAACAAGCTTCAGGAGTTACCCTGCAAGCCTACATGTGAATTTAAGGTTTGGATGGACAAACCATGTAACCAGAAGCACTACAAAGAAAGAATTTATGAGCTTCATTGTTTATGTAATAGCCAAGCGATAAGCGAGCGCTGAACCAATGATGAAATTGAGGCGTTGAAGGCCAAACTCAACAAGGCAGAAGAAGAGAAAAAAAAGCTGGAAGAGCAACTCGAGTGGTTGGAGCAAATTGTAGTGTACGTGATAAGCGTAGTAGTGTATTTTCATGTTTCCCTTGTCATGTGTTTGTAGTAGTTGTACTGTTTGTATCTTTAGATTTGCCGCTTTTGTGTTTGTGTTTCATGTAATAAAATTCATGTTCAAATTCTGTTTCAATAAAAATGTTGTTATACTTGAGTTGTTGTCATTAAATACATAATTTTCAAACCCCGTTTCGTGTCAAAGAAATTTAAAATGTTATGTCGAAAAATGCAATCTAAAGCTATCATGT